CGAGAGGGGTGAGTAAGGGCTTCTCACTTACAAGGTACCAAGTTCCCTTCTGTCCACTATGGATCTTAAATTTGGTGTTCCTGTGGCAAGGTGTTTACAGTCCCCCTCAAAATTTTAATTTGATATAATTTCTCTGCGGTCCATAGGTGACTATGTGCTGTACTAGCGACACAGGCTGCTCCTGACGCTGCTGTTGCCGGCTCATCCTCCTCCTTCCTGTTGTGGGTATTGGGATGTCTCCCCCTCAGGTCATGGTGCATCCATGCAGAGGTGTGTACCATGGTCTAACAATGCTTCTAGGGATGGTTCTGTTCCTTCTGGGGATGTTGTATCTGCTAGCCTTATGCTATGCTTCAGGGTCCTCCTCAGTTCCCTCCAGGGCACCCTCCTATACCGTGTCTACAGAGAAATTTACCACTGCAGAGACAGAATTCATGGGGAAAATGTCAGTGCTCTTAGAGTCTTTAGTCCGCAAGGAGTGTAAGGTGGCCCCCTCTTCTACCTCTTTACTTCTGACCTTCCTCTTCTTGTGTAGTCCCTGAAAAAGAATATGATGAGGAAGAAGGGGCTGCTTCCAGTTCTGTGGATTCAGTCCAGGAAGAGGACCTGTCTACTGACATCCCTTCCAGACTCAATTACGCTGTCCCTATACTTGTGGACACAGTGCATGATTGTTTACAGTTAGAGCCGCCAAAGAAACACACACTTTTACAGCTGGTGTTGTATAGTGACTGGGATCAATACCCTATTGAAGAGGGTTTCTTTAAGAAATAGGCTGTTCCTGTTGTTCATCCAGCCATCTCCTCACATTAACAATCCCTGTAGAAGATGTTCCTGTTTTCAAGGAACACAAGGAGAAAAGATAAAGGTCATCATTAAGGCTTTATTTGCATTTGCAGGCTCTGCTATGCAATCTGCTGTTGCCAACATAGCAGTGTGTATCGAACCTTATCTGTATGGTCAAAAAATATGGCGATGGTAATGGTCCCCACTGCTCTCAAACATTTAAAGCTTATTCCGATTCCCTTGCGGCACTGTGTTGATGGCCTGGTGGATACCCTTAGACAAATCTCAATGATGACTAAAACAAAATACAAGGAGTAGATTCCACCTTAAGGTATGCGATTACCGAAAGGGGAGGGGCTTTTAAGAAATGCTATAAACTCTCTAATTGTATAAAAATATGAATTCATTTATTACATAATTGGAAATAAATAAATAAAGTTGAAACATAATTGGTCCAATTCACATGCAGTATAAGTGTTACATCAAGTCAACAATTATTTTTAAAATAGGACATAATAGAGGACTCATTCAGATAAAACCCGACATGTTTCACCCTAATGGGCTCTTCAGGGGAATTTATATATCATGGAGGAGTCCAAAGTGGCACTCGTGAGGAACACACTAAAAGCTGGTTATATTAGAGGGAAAACACACCTGAAAACACTCGGACCCCTCCCTTTCATGTAGTGGTGTCGATTGACGGTCCCTTTGGACTCCTCCATGATATATAAATTCCCCTGAAGAGCCCATTAGGGCGAAACATGTCGGGTTTTATCTGAATGAGTCCTCTATTATGTCCTATTTTAAAAATAATTGTTGACTTGATGTAACACTTATACTGCATGTGAATTGGACCAATTATGTTTCAACTTTATTTATTTATTTCCAATTATGTAATAAATGAATTCATATTTTTATACAATTAGAGAGTTTATAGCATTTCTTAAAAGCCCCTCCCCTTTCGGTAATCGCATACCTTAAGGTGGAATCTACTCCTTGTATTTTGTTTTAGTCAATCAATTCGGGGTGTGAAATCTTGCTCTCTTTGTTCCTGTTCTTTATTGCTCTAATACACGCCAACTAAAATTTACTTACAAATCTCAATGATGGCCTCCTGTCAATTCACATGTAAGAGATTTTGTGGCTGAAATGCTGGTCTGTGAAGCACCCTTGCAAGAATAACCTTGAAGACATGCAATTTTTTTACTGGGAAAACCTGTTCAGAAAAATCCTTGGAGTCTTAAGTCTAAGTAAAATTACTGTCCGTTTGTCCCTCCCAAGCCTCTGGATCCAAAGCCAAGGCAGGCTCTCAGTTCCACACAGAGACACTGTGCAAAACAAGGGGTGATAGGCCAATAATGAGGAAAGCTGCTGCTGGGAAACCACAGGCAACACTGGTGACCAGTCTTTTGCCCAATACCTATCTTTTCTTTTGTGTACAACTTTCAGAGTTCAGTTCCTCTTTAATGAATCGCCTCGGTGGCCCTTTGACTAAGTTTAGTGAAAATTAGAAAAATAATGATCAGAATTCCTCAGCTAATTTTCAGCTTAAGGTTAAAAGGAAATCTGTCACCCAGTAAAGTGCAGCTGGACAAACATCAATGCACTAATCAAATTGCAGAGTAACATATTTCTAGAAAGTCGTTTATTGTGTAGATAACATAGTAAACTAGGTTGGGAAATGGCACATGTACATCAAATTCAACCAAACAATCTTACTAAATCTAAACCCACAGCTGATCCAAAGAAATAAATCCTATAAAGCATGCTGCAATCTGCCCTTTAGAGGGAAAAAAGGCTCCTGGAAAAAAATACATATGTATGGTAGCCTTAGGCTTCTTTCAAACTGGCATTAAAAATTTAGCATTTATATGCGTTTCTAGGACATTTATAAATGCATCAAATAATTTTTCATGGTATTATTTAAACTATACTTTTACCTGTGTTTAGGTGCAGTTTAGCTGTGTTTAGAGAAAATCGAATTGTGTGCATCCAGGGTTCGATTAGAAACGTTAAACATGTATAAATGCAGAAATGTAACTGGCCCTGCGAAAAGACAAGCACACCTCATCACATCTAAGAAGCATAACGTTTGTTTATACTTCCCAGATCATTTCTCCTGCATTTAAATAACCTAAATGCAGGAGTGGCAGTGTGAATGTACCCTTGGTAGAAGATTCTATTCTATCATGTACAGGGATTTGTCTCTGATCTCATTTCCAGATATGTTAACAGAAACCTGTACTCCTACGGATTAACCTTCAACCAGCAGTAATCTCACTTTAGAGAATAAAAGACTTGTAAACCGTGGTGCTGGGCAGGAACTAGATATGCTTCTTTTCTGTTCATGTCGATTAGGAGATTTTGTTTCTTAAATAAATTATACTCAGCTTAACAAATACATATTAGTTTTTATATGTTTTGTATTTTATGTTCAATACAATTCTTCTATTGGTATAAAAAATTAACACGCTTATGAAATAAATATATTATATTCAGTATGTAGTTAAAATACAGGCACACTACGCAGAAAAACTTTGGGAGCGTTTGGAGCTCATTTCTAAATGCACCTGGACTCATGTAATGCTTTTCAATGACTGAATGCACACCTAGACGTCCAACAGTCTAGATGCATTCAGTCTAGAAGCGTATACCCAAAGTAGAAATTTCTGCGTTCTGGGTCTGATTAGCCTGGTTTTATGCAACTAAACGCATGTAAACGCGACTATGCCCAGCAACAACTAAACACGGGAAAAAGTGATATGGGAAGCATGAAGTTGTTTATACATAGCAGATAACTTCTCTTGTGCTTAAACGCAGCTTGCTAGTGTGCATGAGGTCCTAGGATTAGCTAGCCTCTCCAAGTATATTTTTAACATGGCAACTTTGCTGTGTTTTATCCTATGACCATAGAATACTTTTGTACACACACTGACTTAAAAGAGAAACAGAAGTAAAGCAATTACTTATAGCTGTGAGTTGTTCTTTATGTTTTAGGGCCCATTCACACCACATCCAGATTACCTCCAGACCAGACCAGATTGTTTCCGGAGCCAAAATGCATCCAAATGTATCCCTATGTATCCCCAGCACAGTCTGTTCCAGACCAGACCAGAAAAATACTGCTTGTCCTATTTTGTCTGGTCTGGAACGCATCAAAAACGCATGGAACGCACATGTAAGACCATTTTAAGCTTAAAAAAATGCAAACATTTCCAATCGCAGTAAAATCGCTGCAAAAACGCAATGCACTATGTTCCAGGACTGGTCCGGAAAATGCTGTGAACCTGCCCTCAGGCTATGTTCACACCATGTCCTGACCAGATCTGGAGCAGATCTGCAAACGCAGTTCAGTGTTTTGTTTTAGCTTAAAATGGGCCTTGAGGGGCAATCCAGTGCGTTCCAGTGCATTTGCATACGGCTTTGATGTGTTTACTTGCGCTCCAGTGTGTTCCCAGACCAGAGAAAATTAGACTTGCAGTATTTTTTTTTGTCTGGTCCGGATCGGACTGCGCTGGTGTGAACAGAGCCCAGAAATACCATAGGGATACATTTGGGATGCTTTTTTGTTCCGGGAACAAACTGTTCTGGTCTGGACATACCCTCAGACAAAGCAAGGAATATGGTTTGCTGTGGATAACCGTTCCATTTTTGCTCCATATTGTTTGTTGTAACTTGTGCATCATGAAACACATTTGCTGCAGCCTCAGCATAGTGTTAGCCCTGCGTTTTGCTTTAGGACTTTTGTAGATAGGTATTTCTTTGCTTTTCTTGAATATGCAAGTCAGTGTGAATGCAAAACAACTTAGAAGCTTATCAAATGCATCTCAAATCCAAGCCAGTTACACCAGTGTACACAGACCCTTATATGTATGCATTGTAAATGCTCTTCGGGGGGGGGGAAAAACAGGCTTTTTCTGCCCATACTCTCATCACTTGAGCAGCGGACTGCCTGTAATACTGATTGAAAAAGAAGTGCTTGGTTAAATTAAATTTTCAGTACTAAGGCTGATAAGCAGCCTAAAAATTAATTTTACAACTCATGCAGCCCTGTTTCTTTCCCTATAGCCATTTGTTCTCAAAACAACTTAATTCTGCCCTTCTAGCCAATATATAAAAATAGCCCTTTTTTTATTTTATGTAATCATAACAAAAAAGGAAAGATTTAATAGATTTCTAAATCAGCTATCTATTAAACATACATCTCTTTTCAGGAACACTTACCCAGAATGAAATGGTGTTTAGGCGTCTTCATCTTGGTACAGTGTCCTATGGATCAGATACAATGGATGAAATTCAGAATCATGTTGCAAGCTCTTACTCACAGGTATGTTATTCTGGTGAATTTTTATATGTATAGGTATGTGATTAGTAAAAAAAAGAAAAGGTCAGCTAAAACTACAGTAAGAAGCTAATTTATTACAGATTTACGATTATGATTTTCTACTGAAACCATAATCTTTCACTGGGAACTGGCTTTTGCAAAAGCTGGTCGGAAAGTATGGTTTACTGGGCTGATGAGTTGATCCTGTGCTAGGACAGTGGCCTTTTTTGTCTGAGGGAAGGACTGACTCAGGAGTCAAATTTTAATTCTTCAGCTATTATTGCCTAGTGTAGTTTTGCATCTGCCATTTTTGCAACAAAAGGAAAGAAATGGGAAATCACAGGAGAAAAGGCTGATTTTGTTATTTTATCTTTTCATGGGCTATTTGTTTTTATCTTGGTATTTTGGGCTGGAGTTCTGCTTTAAAGTATGCCTCTACTGAGAAAAAGATAAGCTTCCATTGCTAGCCACCTTCTGAAAATGTTAGCCACCTGGCGATCTATGGCTTCAGTCAGTAAAGAGTACCAACAATGCAGTAAGATAAATCAGAGCAAAGGCAGACCTTGATGGTTTTCACAAAAAGCCCTGGAAACCAGGCAACGTTCAATATTGAAAGTAGAAGCCTGCAATGGCAGCATGCAAGTTTCTTCAGAAAAAGGTTTCCTTTAAATTTCCCAGTGCCAAAAAAAAAATCAATTTATAAAATGTGTTCTGTTCTCATGACACCATTTATATGTATCTAGAATATGATGCGATCCTTAATAACTCCATCTGTCTTCAATGGTTGGCCGCATAGAGAAAGCAGATTGTGTTTACCTAGTTGCTAATTAAACATATATGAAAGCACTCCAGAAACATGCAGAGCGTCGTCAGTTTGTGATAATAAGTGGTTCCAGCTACCTAACCAGTTAGGCAGAGGTAGCTTTGTGACTTTGATTTGATTCCCTAGTTGTAGGCCCTGTTTTATTAATACGAAACAGCAGCCCTCTTGTATCTCTACAATAATGCAACAGAGAAATCTATTATAACATGATTATATTTTCCCACTGGAAGCATTCCGTGACAGAGAGCATAATCTTTAATGGAATCTGTGTGAAATTAAATTATACAAGCATCAATAAACATAATTCAGAAGGAGTAAATCATCTTAATTTATTTGCGTCTGTAATGGCATCAGCAAATGTAGAATGCAAATGCAAAGGTTTAAAGCAGGAGCTGAAAAGCAGATGAGCAGAAAAGTTAAACCTATTATTATACAGCACTGTAATTTGATGGGCAGTGTGTTCATGGATCACTGGCTCAGTGCACCGAGCCCATTGCAGCACATGGCTCCCAACACTTGGTTCTTGTGATCCCCACAGCAGATCAGGACATGGTGGGTGTATAGCTCAATGTTACTTAACATTGCAACCTTAATGCAGCCTTAATAAGTGTCTAATAATAATGAAATAAGTATGTGAGGTGTTCCCTAGAATCACTCACGTTAATTGTATATTCTGCTGTAGTGATTGCAAAAATTCTGTTGTAAAACAAATTTGCTTGAACAGTATCATAGCTTCAGGCATATATTTTTCAACAATCATTTAATCCTAATGTATCTTTATTAAAAACTAGTAAATGTTATTTATATGGAACAAGCATATGTACCTGCATCTGTCTTAATATAAGCCAGTTGTCTGTTTAGATCAGGGGTCTCAAAGTACAGGCCCGCGGGTGCTCCGGCCGAATGATAGATCATTAGTAAGGTCTAGTGCAGATCTTACTAATCACCACTAGATCACCAGGGAACGATGATGTGCCTCCTCCCGGCACAGATGAAAGCAGGTGAGGGGGCATAGGAGGGAGGGGGGCTTTATTAATATGTGTGCTGGAGGCTTGGGAGGGAGGGGGAAAGTATATTATGTGTGCTGGGGGCTTTGGAGGGAGG